GTCAATTTGCTGCACCATATTGTAAGAGAATTGTCACCGTCAAAAACTTCATCTATGAAAAGCCATATTTTGTTTAACATTGACCACTGCCTGTGCCAACCCAATTCCTATTCTGTACCTCTCCATTTTGTTGGACTGTCTGCATAGGCTCTATAACTCCTATAAATTCAAAAGTGAATGATGTCCTATGCATGAGAATCAGTCTTCAAAAGCCCTGCATATGGTATTCACTGACCTAACATTCCTATGAATAGCATCCATTAATGATAATTGATTTGACAGTGTTCTTCTCTTGTTTGAACCTCCAACCTGCTGGAACAACTGGAGTGTCTTTTGCTTTTTCTTTCTTTCCCTTTGCTTGCTGATGTTAGCTTGTTCAATATGCCGTAGGAGATAAATCCCCTTGTCTGCCACATTTGAAGAATAGTTCTGAGCAGTGGAGTCTCTCATCCAACCTTCTCCTTTGCAGACTCAATAAGTTCCTACCCTCTTGCAATTATTGTACTTATGTTGTCCTGCGCATGGAATCATGTCGTTCATGACCGACGCTTTCTTGTTGCCTGCTTGGTTCTTCGCATTCCTGAATTTCTCCCTCTTGCTTCTTTGTGTTTTGGACATTTATTATTGGTTGTCTCACAGTGACAGTCAATGTCTTCTGGCTGTTCTTGTTCCACATGGATCTATGCTATTTCATCTGTTCCATGAGTTGCAGATTTCTCTGCTACAATGTTGTTTCCCCTTCTCATTAGGATTGGTTGCTTGAAACGCCGAATTGCCTTTAACTTCTATATTATTTACTCCTTGCCCTTCGCCTCTTTATCTCCTTGTTTTTTCCCAAGTTACAGTTTGGATCTTCATCTTCTACCTTTTTCACCATCTTCTTCTTCAACTTGCATGAATAGGGGATCATTCCTTCCTTCTCTGTATCTTCTGTCATCTTGATGCTGACCACATCCTTCCCTCCCTTCCAATTTGCTTCTTTCCTTACTTTTGAAAAATTTCATATTCTTGCATTTCTAGGTTTCTCATTGTCACAGGCCACTTTGCAAAGTGTCCTTGTCTACTCTAGTATCCTGAGATGGAACTTCGTGACACAGATGTTTTGTGAGAAACAATTTTATCTTTAAAGGCTCTTTTGTACCCATCGAGGCAGTTGCTTTTTGTTCTGGCGCATCACTACTCCTTATTTCTTGGTTGCTTTGGACTTCCTTATCCTTTGTTTGTTGTTGCGTGCTGTGTTCCGCACTACCTGCTGCGCGCTGTTACTTGCTTTTTGTTTCCTCTCTATCTTCCTTCTTTCATTCCAGGTGAAGCAGGCAATACAAAATAGGTGCTGTGGATCAAAAGTTCAGGTTCCTTTGTGTGTAGCACTTGTATTTTGACACCACCTGCATTTCTAAACCAAGGCCAATTGTTCTGTTTGGATTGTCTTTGCACTGTTTCTCAACTTCTAGGTACTTGAACTTATTGTTTGTCTGCATCTGCTGAGGCATCATGGAGAACTTGATTATCCACTGGTATTACTTCCTTCCCAGTTTTTGTTCCTTCCCCATTTCCTGCTTATCTTTAGCTTGATTTCTTTTATCCTTCACCTCTTTCCACTGAGCTCCAACATTACCAACAACCTTCCCATTTGATAGAATCATCAAAGGGTTGTTTTATTCTTACTCTTCTCCTTATTTTCTTGCACACTATTACCTACACCAGGCTGCTTTTCCTCATTCCTATTTACCATAAGCTCAGGATGCACCCTTCCAGCATTTCCAACAGATCATGCCCTTGTAACTTGCATTCTTTGCAGTTTTAGGAAGATAAGTCCATATTTGATATTCACCGATATCATTCTTATCTCTCCAGTGCTTTCTTTAACAATATCCATCCTAACCTTGTTAGGGAGATCAGCAGTAAGTCAACTAACACTTTCAACCACGTGCACAAGTGGTCCTAGTCTTGTTCAGTGTAAGCTTGGTCAAGATGTAAATGGTTTACCAACTGCAGAGCTAATGAAAAAGGAATTCCTTAATAAAATATGTTGGTAAGCAAATTAGGAAAGAGAAATCCATGCCATAACTTTTGGTGTCTCCTCTCCAACCTTGAATTTTAGCATCATATATCAAATGTTCAAATTTGATATTCATCTCCGAACTTGTCCTTAACATAATGTATTCCCTTTGAATGAAGAATTCATTAACATAATGTATTCCCTTTGATGAAAATTCAATGAAGTCCTGCCATAATGTTAGTCTAACTAAGACATGCCTATCTCGTAAATACCCAATAGTGCACTCACCCTTAATACCACATTGAATAGGAAGAATATGACGTAATTCATTAAGCTAAGGCCAACCATATGAGTATTTGCAAACCACTGCATACTGCAAACCTTCGATCACGTTCATGCGTTCCACTTATGCTTCAGTAAAACAAACCAAAGGTTGTCCTTGATGCAATGTAGCTCTTCTAAGCGCAATTGGTTCAATAACTGCTGCTCGATCATGCATGGCAGCGTTATTTGACGTAGGTTTTACTGCTTTGGCGTAGTTCATGGGAACTGGATTATCGTTGGATGGATTTGAAGGTTGGGAAGTGTTGTTTGTTGTAGTAGGGGGTTGGGTAGACGCTGGAGGAGGCTGACCAGCCGGAAAAGATGGCTGGCCGCCGGCCAAATTGGCCATGGCAGCGATCACTAGCACTTTCTCTCTCTAGTCGCTCAAAAAATCGCCAGAGCCTCTCTCTCTAGACTCCAACGCGTTTTTTTGGGTTTTTTTTTTTTTTTTTAAGCAATCCACCAGGCAGGGCCTGGGGCTAGTTTTTATTTATATATAAAATTTAAGAAAACAATGTACTTATGTCCTAAAAATTGTACGAACATAAAACTACATAAGTCCTATTATCAAAATTGAGTGGTATACTCAAAATTGATATCACATGATGACTATTAATATTTGACAAAATAAAACTAGCATTTGAATATATAAAATCGGCCTCTATGCAGCCCAACACGTGCAGCCCGTCAAAAATAATCAAGCATTGCAGTCCATAGCCCATAAGTGTATCAATTGCAGCAGTAGCCACCTTTTCGCACAAATAGCCATAGTTACTCCTCTTGTAGTATTGAACACATGGCCACATATATGAATCTACACAGCCCAATAACGATGCTCTTATTACCCTATCCAAACGACTTGCCTTCCATATTTGTAAACCAGCCCAACATTTAGGCCCAGTTTTAATTAAGCCCAAAGAAATGCCCATTCCCTTATCTTCCTGATTTCCTAATTTATACCCATATCCTAATTTGCACCGACATTCACACTCAGCCCCTTCACTCTCTATCCATCCACTTCTCTCTCTATCAAACCTAGAAGACATCGAACCCCTGTCTTCCTCTTCATTTCTGCTCCTATAGTCCCTAAATCTTCCATCTCTCAGCTGAATCGACAAAGATTCAGCTGCTAAAGTCCTCTGCTTATTGATTCGCCTGCTTAGCCCTTGAAGATGAACTCCCCCAATCATTTCGGATGGTCTATTTTGCTGAGGATGCAACCCTTCATTCATCCGCTTCTGTCTGCATCTCATAAAGGTAACCTCACTCCCTTGTAATTTCTCTTCACTTTCCATTTTGTCTGCTGCATTTTTGTACCACCTATCCTTACACCCGACATTTGTTATTCGATTCTTCTTGCATGTTGTTGATATCAATTGCTCCGTTCTGCTGGACTGGCATTGCTCGTTAGTACGACTTCTCGTAGCTACTGCACTATTCTTGAGGGCCCTGTGCTGACCAAATTCAGACGAGCTGTCCTCGACTGCTGAGACACCCTGCTTTGACCTGGTGAAGATGCTTGTGAATGCTCCAATTGAGCGTGTAACCTTTCTAAACTTGTAGTACTTTGTAGTACACATACATATATGTAATGTTTTTAATTGTTCCCTGTGATTAGCTATTTCATTGTGTATGTGCATCATCCAGCTAGCTTCTCTTGAGAAGAGAAGTGTGCTGTCCGCAGGCTTTGTGTCCAAATGACACCAATGCTTAGCTTGCTGACTTTGTATCACTTCCTTGTGAATGTAATGTCCTGCTCTCTTGTGTGGTATTTTACAATTATGTCCACAATTGTGTATGCTAGTTATTGCAACTGCTCTTGTTACCTCTCTATATTCTATGTTTAAGTTCACCCCGATGGATTGAGTACGAAGTACTAATACCACCACCTGGGGATTCCTTATAACATAGAATATAGCTAGGATTGCTGACATTGTGTGATCCCATGACTTTGTATGCATTGCTTCTGTTGTACTTGGTGATATATGACCTCTTGTGTCTTTCCTTGAATTTCCCTCATTGATTTGAGTACACTGTACTCGTACCACACAGTAAGGGTTGTCCAAGAAAAGGCCACCAGACCTACTGTTCTTCCTCTCCTCCATAAGGATTTGAGGATACTGTCTGTATGTCCATGCCTGATTCCATGTATACCATTTTCCATCTTGCTGCTGATTTTGCCCACTTCTCTTATACATTCTGGGCAATTTTCTTAAACTTGAATGTGTTTTTTGATAAGAATTTATGTATGCCATGTTTGCATCTCCTAGGGATTGAGTATAAGATACTAATACCACCCTTAAGAAATGTAGAACATAGCATAGCATAAATATCCAGCTCCTACCTGCAAAAAAGAAACCAATGTTAGTAATAAACAGTATCACCATACTCTCCTCTACATAGATTTGAGCATGATGATTCCCTTGCTTAACTCCTGCTTCACATTCTCCCCCAGACTCCAATTTGCTCTTATTAGTTAAAAAATTTCTTCCTGTGGCCTCCTCCTTAAGGATTTGACCCCATTGAATGATCCTGCCTCCTGATCTCATATATACCCACTCCAATGAACTGATCATAGTCTCCTCAACCTTGATTTGACTATAACAATTAACATATATCACCCCAGCTGGCTGCATACTGTCTCTCCTCCTTGTTGCCTCCTCTCCTTCTAATTTCATGCAACTCTTATTCTGATATATGGGCATTGTGATTTGTCATCATTAACTATCTTCCTTCCTTGTATATCTAACTCCCAGAAATTGTGTGCTTCAAAATCCCCAAAGTCCAAGGCATAATTAGCTAGATGATCAGCTAATCTATTTCCTTCCCTCAAAGTGTGAGTTACTGTTACATTGGTTCTATTCATTAGTTCCTTTATTTCCTCCACATGTTCTGCTATATTCCATGGTACATCCCATTCTCCAGTTATAACATGCTTCATCATCATTGAATCAGTGTGCAATTCAATGAGTACATATTCATGTCTAACACAGAATTTCATTGCTTCAAGTATTGCTTTAGCTTCAGCTTCTGTATTTGTTCCATTCTGCACCTCTTTTCCACAGCCATATACTATATCTCCCTTTTCATTTCTTAGCACATATCCTATTGAACTCCTCCCAGGATTTCCCTTTGATGCCCCATCTGTGTTCACCTTTATCCATCCTGATTTTGGACATTCCCATAACACCTTAGTATATTTCAATCTGGGAAGATAAGACTCCAACATGTACAACAGGTCTGGCCATTTATGTGGCACATTCTGCAGGTTTGGCTTTTTGAATTTCACTAGGCTTTGCATAGTATTAGACACCTGATATATAACCCTATTTACTGTCACTGTATCTCCATGTTTATAGCTATTCCTCCTCTTCCAAAGCTCCCAGACAATGACAGAAGGCAAGGCTTGTAATATAGGTTTAATTCTATGTATCACATCTGCAGTCCAGCATTTTACAATAGCCTGATGAAATGAAATTCCTTCTAGTGTAATACCTGCATGTCCAAGAAAATATTTCCACACTCTGATTGCTGCATGTGAAGTGTAGAACAGATGTTGCATTGTCTCCTCCTGTGGTTCAGCACAGCACCAGCATTTAGAAGCCATAAGGTAGCCCAGTCTTTTAAAAAATTCATCCAAAGGCAGCTTATTCCTCCATACTTTCCACATGAAAAAAGATATTTTAAAAGGAAGCCCTTTCACCCATATATTTCTGTATGCATTGCCAGGGTCATTCCTCCTTCTGACATATGCCCAAGCTGATTTCACAGTGAATTTACCCCTAGGTTCCAGCATCCAATAAGGCTTATCAATGTCCTCTATCATTCCTGGAGGCTTCACATGTTGTAAAATGTGTTCTGCTAGTTCTTCTGGTAAAATCTCTCTGATCTTTTCCTCATTCCATTGACCATTGCATACCACATCATATATGTTATGTATTGATTCATCACACACAAAATCAGGAGGAGTAACAAAATATAAAGATCCCATCCCTGTCCAGTTTTCAAACCAGAATAGTGAGGACCCCATGTGAGGCTGCCACCATATTTGATGTTCTATAATATCTCTACACTCCAGCATCTTTCTCCAAACATGTGAACCATCTCTCCATGGAACAATCATAGGATTTAACTTTTTGCAGTACTTTTGACTCAGAAAGGAACTCCACAAACTAGGTTTAGTTCTGAAATTCCACCAAAGTTTACAAAATAAGGCTGTAGATACATCATGTAGAGATCTAAAACCCACTCCTCCTTCTTCACAAGGTAAACATAATGTATTCCAAGAAGCCCAATGCCTATTTGCAACTCCCACAGTGTTGCTCCAGAAGAACTGGGCAAAAATTTTGTGTAACTTGTTAATCACATAAGGTGGAGGATTGACTGAGGACAATAGGTGTATTGGCATGCTCTGAAGTACATGAGATATTAGTACAGCCCTTCCCCCTATAGATAATAGCTTCCCTTTCCAATCCTGCAGCTTGTCCATTACCTTAGTTATAAGTCCCTGATAATAGTTCATTCTCCTCCTAGCATAGAAAATAGGACAACCAAGGTATGTAAATGGAAATTCATTCTTGGCAATACCTGTTATTCTCTGTACCTTGTCCACTACATCTTCCCCTGCAGAATGATGTAAATAGATTGCTGACTTGCTCTTGTTTATAAGTTGTCCAGAAGCCTTCTCATATCCTGCTAGTATTTCCATAATCAATCTTAATGATGTTGCATCAGAAGAGGAAAAAATGATTGTGTCATCTGCATATGCCAGATGATTGATCTTTGGACTCCACTTGGGCAGTCCAAAACCACAAAAATCCACATTATTATGCAGTGAATTCAGACCCCTTGATAATGCCTCAGCAGCCAATATAAATAAAGTAGGTGATACAGGGGGTCACCTTGCTTTACCCCCCTTGTAGATTTGAAAAAACCATGGGGCTGCCCATTAAGGAGAACAGAGTACCAATTATTTGAGATTATACCATATACCAGACCTATAAATCTTTCCCCAAAGCCCATCTTCCTAAGTACCTTAGTTAAGAATATCCATGATAATCTATCATATGCCTTGGCCATATCCAATTTAATCACTACATTTGGACCAGCTTTTGTTCTCATTCTGATATCTGTAATGATCTCTTGTGTTAGCAGAACATTTTCTACAATACTCCTGCCTTTTACAAATCCAGCCTGCTCCTCAGATATAATGTTTGTTACCAGGCCTGTTAACCTTTCATGTACAACTCTAGAGAAGATCTTATTGACAAAATTGCTAAGGCTAATAGGTCTCATATCTGAGAATGAAATAACCTCTTTCTTTTTTGGTAACAAGACTAAATTTGTATGTGTCACATACCTGGGAAGTTCATGCCCATTGAAAAATGCCTTAACCATCTCTACAATATCATCAGCTATTATTTCCCAACAATGATGAAAAAAGCAACCTGTGAAACCATCAGGGCCCCCAGCACTTTCCCCATTCAGGCCAAAGACTGCCTGTTTTACTTCTGCAAAAGTTGGTTGTTTAATTAATTCCAAATTCTGCAAATTATCAATCAGTGTTGGTATATGTTCCAGTATTTCAAAACAGGTTGGAACTTGATCTTCATGAAACTGTGCCTTAAAAAATCTGACTGCCTCATCTGCCATATCATTGCTGTCCTCTAACCAAATACCATTAGAATTCTGCACCCTTTTCAACTGTAGTCTTCTTCTTCTACCATTGACTTGAGCATGAAAAAATTTAGTATTCCTGTCCCCATCTTTAAACCATGCCATCCCTGATTTTTGCTTCCAAAATTCCTCCTCCAATGCTAAAAATCTGGTCAAT